ATTCTGAATGCAATTATTTTAACGTGCAGTACATTTTCATACGTGTTGGACTGTTGTCACAACGATGATTAGTGACATCTATCATATGAGCCACGATAGCAGGGAACGATTGACCATCAGGTAAACATAGCAGCGTATTCTAAATGAAACTTTTTGTTCAGTAACCGCAGTTCTGTCTGTGGGTTTTCAATTTTTATGATGGTCATTTTGTCTTTAACTCATTTTGTTCGAAACATGTTCTGTATTTTTATTAATGTATGTTGAAAACATTAACGCGTATTTCAGCATGCAAACATAAAAACACAGTTTTTAACATTTGTTAAGAAAAATATTGAATTTATAAAAATGTTGGCAATGCATAGAAATAAAATATTGTATTTGGTCAAAGAAAACTGATTTTAAAAATATATTTTACATTTTGCCATTGTTATTGTAATTAACATTACCGCGTTCATTTTTACATTGCTGCTGTTATTCTTTTGATCACCATTCAAATTATCATAAGAAATAGGAAGAAAAGGAGTTTCCTCAACCCAATGAAGATGAAAGTCTAACAATGATATAATTATTTTTGCAACATACGACGCGCACAACTCCTATCTCAGAATGCCTGATTACAGATTGCTTGAACATTCGTTAAAAAGACACTCCGGATATTAAAAGACCACAGAAAAAGTTCAGAAAAAACGGACCATTTTACTTTTGGGTTATTTTATTTTCTAGGTCACAATTTGTTTTTGAATAAATTTAATTTCCGCATTTCATCGTTAAACAACCACTTGATCAAGATTTTCTACAAAATTATTACGTAGCATAATTTGCAGGTAATTAGACGATTCACTGGAATGTTTCATAAAGAGAAAGATGTCCAGGTCAACCTCTGCAATCAGAAAGCTGTGACTTGCATGGAACATATGCAGCCTGAAGCCATTCCAAATTTCTCGTTTGTTAAGAGTCAATCGCATTTTTGGATGAATGGAATTAACGAAAAAAACCATTTCTTAAACGAATTGCACGTTCAAGAAATAGAATGGGCTTAGTATGTTTTTTTTTTAATTTAACAGTTTGAATGATGTTGCTACCCAAACGGTAACAATAATTCCTTGCCAAAAAACTGACAACATTAAATACCATCTTTTCAAAAAAATTTTAAATGAAAAGTTTTAATCAAAAATTGCAGTAAGAATAAATTAGACACACGCTGCTAATTACAAATTTCAGTGCATGTTTCATTCTTTCTTTTAATTTTGGTTTCACTGTGTCGAGATTCCATTTAATAACAGAGGCCAGCACACGTTTCACTTTAATGATGGGACGCATAACTAAATGTCAATGATCATAAAAACTTTTCAAATTTTAACTTAACAAAAACTTTATTTTGAAAGTTTTTTTAACAAATTATATTCAAACGCTCTCTAAATATTATAATTTCATCAAACTTTCAGCAGTAACTGTCTGCCAGTCTGCAACCAGCGGGCCCGAGTCATTGAGTGACCGACGAATTTAATGAATTTAAAAATCAACTTTCACAAATTTATTCTATTCAATAAATGACCACCAAAGCTCTTATAAAATGTAAATTGATTAACTTTCGATTTCAATATCAAATAAAATAACATTTTTATTGGACTCACTCCCACTTCTCCAGAGTGGAATATGTCACAGAAGCATGCATCTGACGGAAAATGCTACTTGGCACATACACAAAATTAAGTCAATCATCGCTCACATCTAATATTTTTTCATTTTCAATAAATTTGTTAAAAATTAGTGTAGGTCAATTAGTAAAATTCAAATGACCCAAAAATTATTTTTGAACTAAATTCTTGAAATATATTTCACAGTTTTAATTTTTTCATAAATTTATAAACAACCCACTCTGATCTCAGCTTATAAATTTCAACTAACTGCAATTACTACAAATTTCTCAAATTTATCTCAGCCTGCAAAAAAACATTTTGATAATAAAACTATTTCTTCGCCATATAACGCCACAAGTTAATGAACATTGGGCAACCTCAGATCTTTAAAAATACAACTTTGTAACTTGATGAAAATAAATTGAAAACATGCTCACTAAATCTGGACACCTTAATTAAAAAAAAGTGAGATTTATTCAGTCATTTTTATATTTAGTGCTTTCAGGCTTTAATTTGTAAATGACCTACTACTACTTTTGTGGCAAGCAAGCCTTAACAGAGATCAATTGTCTACACATTCAGATTTGTGTACTTACCATTACAGAGGATTAGCCTTCAAGCATTGATGTATATGTAAAACAGCTACACAGTTACAGTTGCTCTGGAACACCTTATGTTTCACCATTAAATTATTGCTTGGGACTTAGTTAATTTTTTTCCCACAGGTGATAATTAGACAATATACAAATATCAACTAAGCAACGTACAAAATGTGTTTTTGAATTTATATACAAATATTTACACACACACACCACACACACCTTACACACATTTTTATTTGCTTTGTAAGTCCATTGAAAAAATATTCCCTATTTGAAAATTTTTTTTGACAAACTACTCCTTTGTTCATAAAGATATTTTGCCAAATCGCATAAACCAGATGTCTAATTTTTGATAGATATCCGAGACATACTGAACGAATCAACTGATGACAGCTATGAAAAAAAATCAAATTTTCTATATTTGAGAAATATTTGGCGTGAAAAGAGTTAAATAGAAACAGCATAGATTGAGGAAGTGCAGAACTTTGAATCGATTATATTTTGCGTCATAATAATAATTCGTAAAATACACAAAAATATGAAAAAAATTATTAAAAATTGATACATATCTAGTATCATTTAAAAAATGATTTATATCTAGTACCATTTAATGAAAAATTTATTAAAAAATACAATTTTTATCTATGTCAGTTATTTATTTTGTTTAATAAAAAAACAATTTATATGTAGTATTAATCATAACAAAATATACTATATCTATAAATATATACTATATATATAAATTATTAAAAATTGATACATATCTAGTATCATTTAAAAAATGATTTATATCTAGTACCATTTAATGAAAATATTTATATTTATTTATTAAAAAATACAATTTTTATCTATGTCAGTTATTTATTTGGTTTAATAAAAAAAACAATTTATATGTAGTATTAATCATAACAAAATATACTATATCTGGTGTCATTTAACTACGAGTTTTAACATTAAGTTTAAATATTAGGCCAGAATCGAATGAGTTGATACTTGAAGTTCCATAAATTTTTCATCACAGCAACCAAATTGTTAATATTCAGTTATTTGCTTACTAAGAAACGAACGAAATTTAAATTTGCTTTCATGATGCAGCATTAGAACAGTAAGTAAAAACCTTTAATCATTATTCGTCCTTAATGTAGCACAATAATGAAAACTTCCAAATTAGAATGAACAATTTCTTAACAAAATTTACTTTTTCATACAATTGAGATTCGTTTTTGAATGAAAAAATGAAAAAAATGAAAAAAAAACTTCAACTACTGTTTATCTGCCGTACAAAACTTCAGATAGTTTTTTAAAAAGAGTTCTGAACATTTTGGCAGCTTGTGCATCAAAGTGAGATTCCGAGATGGCATGCATTGACAAGTAGGTAAACAAACCGCAGTGCACGGTGATTAGCCTGAAACTTACCCATAGATCCTCTTTTTCTAATCTTATTGACATTTTTGCTTATTTTTTTTATTATCCTTAAAAAAAAACAGAATCTGTTACAATATTAACAACTATTAAAACATGAAGAAAATATATTACGGCTTAAGAAGGTTTTTTTTTAAAGAGTTCACCCTTATAAATTGTTTCAAAATATTGTGTTAATTTGAAAATTTATTTTGGAGCATCTTTGGGTTTTACAAAGCAATTATCTCGAGTGTTCATTTCTCAATGTTTTTTCGCTGCTACAATTGCAACCGCAGACCATGCGAGATGCACACTGCAGTGCACAGTCAACAGAGGGAAGATAGCGATGGAGATGATCTCGGTTGCGTGTCGGCGTTCAATCGGTTGGCTGAAGAATTCTGCAGATGTGCACTTCTATCACCAATTTCCTGTCTTGGCATCCCTTTGTTTTTGTTTTGTCATTTTAATTCAGCGATATTAAAGACATACATCAATGTTTATACATGTGCTGATGCGATCAGTCAAGTACGGATTGTTAAAAATATCTTTATTTTTTCTACTTTTTTCTATTTAATTTATTTAGTAAATGTTTGCAATATAACTATTATACTTTTTTGATTATTACATTTTACTATAAGACCACAACACACTATGGAGATTTTTACTGGCCAGAGAAAAACGCAAGGCTTATTTTAAACATCGTTGCAAACCATTTTGTTTTCCTTTCTTGAACTTAAACCAATGCCGAAATTAAAAATATAACGTAATACCTTTGAAAAAAAGGTCGCAGTGTTTTTTTCAAATAAAATGTTGTGATTTGTAAAATGAATGAAGATTGTATAGAAGATAATTACATCTTCTGACGTATTTACGCGTTGAGTTGCACTTGGGAAATTTATTTCTCTATGTATTCTAATTATCAACTACTGCAATTTGTTTGCCGTCAAACATGATAGCTTTGTGTTACGATGGTTATATTTTTAACGTTCATTCAAACTATGGGGGTTTGTTTCTGTTATCAACTTTTATACATGAAGTTAGTCTGTTTTCTTGGTTTTAACAAAATTTTAGCTTTTGATTTTTTTTTCATTCTATGTTCACATTTTCAATTAAAATATTTTGCTGTATTTAGCCTTAATCCCGTACTTATTTATGAAAACATTATTATTAATTGTTCTAATATATCAGATCTCCAATGGCTGAAAAAAGTAAGTCTCAAACAGCACCTTCTAGAAATGTTCTTTCTAGAATAGAAAATATGTTTTTATATAAATTTCATAACAAGAACAGCAAACTAATGTATAAATCAAAACCCTTTTCCAAGCAATATAATAGCTGACTCAACAAATGAAATCAATCAAACAGTTCTAACCTGATAGTCGTCTTCAGCTCTTTCACTGTAATCATAAAAATGTTGGCTGTACGGGACGGTGTGGTTGATGACGACATCAATAACTGCCTCAGTCCATCTCGCAGGCAAACCGCGGTCAGTTGCTCTTAAAATGATGGTCACTTCCTTATGTAAAATGTTTGACAGGAGTTTTTGAACCGACACTATTCCATTGTTCTTGTTAATTTCAAAATATCCTTCGTCGCTAAAATTTTTGTACTGCATGGAGTAAGTTATTTTTGCGTTTTCGCCGCGGTCAGCATCGCTTGCTAGTGTTTTGAAGATGATTTTGTTGACCGGTGTCATGGGCGATATGTAGATCACTGGCCGATTTGTATTGTTGTCGAAAGCACCAACACTTGAATGTTCAGCGAGGACATTTTGAAAAGGAAACATTTCATAATGAGTTTCATTCATTGGATGTCTTAACAAAAGTTGATCAACTTCTAGCTGTTTTTCATTTTGTTGCTCAATCACATTTTTTTGTTTATACTTTACAACTAGTTGTGATTGATGTACGAAGAACTTTTCAAAGACAGGATCATTATCATTGAGGTCGGCAACATGGATTGTAACGTCACAGTGCGCCATCTGTGTCGGTCTGCCAGAATCAACGGCAACTACTGAAAGTTTGAACACGGACTGAGATTCGTGGTCCAAACCGACGGCCACTCTCAACACTCCACTTACGGAATCCAATTCAAATAAACCGGATCTATTATTTAGATATACTCTTTCTTCATTTAACCCGTCATATGACAATTTAGTTGACATGGTGGAGGAGGAAGATGATGAAGTTGTGATGGAGGAAGCTAATGATGGTGGTCCCGTGTTAAACCAGTAGGTGACTTCGTTGTTAGATGCACTGACATCACGATCCACAGCCAGTATTTGACCGATGGCCGTGTTAGGTTCGTTGTTTTCTTCAACGTGGAAGACGTAGAGAGGATAACTGAGAGTTAAGTTGTAGTTGTCAAAAAAATGGTGCTTTTTGTTCATATTAATATTTTCAAAAAATTTATCGTTCACTGAATGTCTATTTTCATTATCGGCGTTTATGAATTGCGGTTTTTCATCGTTGACATCGCCGACGATAACATGAACGCTCGCTGTTGCTGTCAACCTGATTGTGCCTGAATCAACTGCCAGGACTTGGATGGATAACATTTCAATTGATTCTCTGTCCAGCACTTCCGTTAAGTACATGTTTCCATGTTCATCAGTTTTTACATAAGTTGGCAGTGACGATAATGATACTTGTGTTGAGGATGATGATGACGACGACGATGATGGTGATGAGTGGGTTACATTGACGAGCGATGAAAAAAATTGTATGAAATTGCTGGGTTCCTGGTCGGCGTCAGACACGACCAGCTTTAAAAATTTCTGATTGATGAAATTGTTTTCAAGTACATCAACGACGTAAAATTCTTTCTCAAAGACGGGTGGGTTGTCGTTGACATCTTTCACGATAATCTCGAGGCTCTTGTGACTGCGCTGGGCTGGAGCTCCTTCATCTTCGCACGTCAGCTTCAACGTGTAGCTGCTGCACTCCTCTCTGTCCAGCGATCCGTTCAATATGATCTGAAAATAAATATTTGTGAAATTATTTTTTTGTGTGAAATTAGTTTAATGATAAAATATTTTTTATTGTAAAACAACATGTCAATATTTTCCATCAATATTTATTTTCAGAGTTACGAAGATCTGTCATTAGCAAGAAATATGTTTCTACTTCTGTCCGTTGTAAAACTTAATCACAAAAAAATTTTTGTTAAATACATTTTTAATCGAACATTTATTAAGGAAAGTCATCGTCTCACTGCTACCTACTTTTCGTCACCGTTGCTAGCTTCAGCCGCCTTGCTAAAGAAGTTCACCATAAACATTCTTATAGAATGAAACCAAAAAACATTCTTATCACGAAGCGATATTTATGATAAGGAATATAGTAATTATTATTAATTGTACTCAAGTTGTGTGAAGCTCTATCGGACGTATAAAAATTAAGAAACAGAAAACTTCTAAATGCAAAATAAGTTGACGAGAGTATGAGCAACGTTAACGTGGCATTGAAAATGACTTAGCTGACAATAATAATAATGGTCAGCTAAATTATTATTGACGGCAAATGAAATTTGTGAGATTGTTGGTGGAAACTTGAAGAAAAAAAAACAAACATTTTGGCAAGCTTGCTTCAAATAATTTAATTTTAAATATGCATGAGCATATCCATTAACACTTTCTTTATATCTTGTTGTGGCGTTATAGGTTTTAGAAAATTTTTTCAAAAACGCGCAGAATATTTTCTCGTGAAAATTTATTAAACATACCTGATACTCTGTGTTGTACCTCTTTACAAGCTGAAACATGGAATGCACTCTTAACATATGCGAAGTTTTCTCCTTATCACTATTGTTTGTTTTTTGGAAATTATTGTCATTTTTTTCATGAGGATTTTTATTTTTCAGTACGAAACTACATCTGACAGTTCCATTAACACCGTTGTCAGGATCAGTGACAGTCACGTGAGCCACAAAACTTCCGGTTTGGTTTTCCCAGACTTCCGTCACTTCGGTGTCTCTGCTAGTTAACGTGCTGATGATAATTTTTGGTTTGTTGTCGTTAACATCAAGAACTCTGATGACCACTTTGGCATCAACTGCAACTGACCCTGGACCTTGGTCCTCCGCAAGAACTGTCAAATGATAAATCGATATGGTTTCTCTGTCTAACTTGCTGTTCACTTTCAAATAGCCGCTTGACCTGTCTATTGCGAATGTTGATCCGTACGTGTTGTACACCTGATCCAACAGTTGGTACGTCACTATGCCATTCTCACCAACATCTTTGTCGTGAGCCTTAATTTTTGCTATAATCGATCCAACCTTTACATCTTCATTGACGTTAATTTCGTAAATCGTTTTTTCAAAAACTGGTTTGTTATCATTTGCATCAGCGATGACAATCTTCAAATCGATGCTTGCTGATTTCGCTGGCTCTCCTCCGTCGTAGGCAGTCAGCTTGGCAGAATATTCTTCCTCCGTTTCTCGATCCAGTGCGGACATGACGACCAACCGCGGGTCCAACGACGAATCTTCTCGCCGAAGGACTTTCAAACCAACGTTGTTTGTACTGCATTCAGACAATTTGTACAGTTTCACTGCATATTTCGGGCCATCTAAATCATACGCAACGGGAAGTTGAAAAGTTGTTCCTACCGAAACTGACTCCCGAATGAAAATTGTTGCCGATTTGTCTTTGAAGTATGGTTCATTGTCGTTAATGTCAAGAATTTCTACAATCACTTTCACAATTTCAAAATATTTTTCATTTTTGACCGTGACATCGAGTTTGACTTCACACGTCGCCTTGTCCTTGCAGAGCATCAAGCTGTCCCGATCGATACTTCCTTCCGTGTAAATCTTTCCAGTCCTGTTTTCCACGCTGAAGGGCAGAGCAGGAGTCGTTAATATTTGGTAGGTTAAGCGAGATGAAGTTTCAGGCGATGGTCGTCGGCTGGAATCGCCGTTGACGATGACACTGCCCACGTAGCTGCCGGCTGGAACTTCTTCAATTATTGAGAGTCGTAAGTAGTTGTTTGAAGATGAGGTGGATGTCAACAGCGCCCTGCAGATGTATATTAAATATATCAAGATGAATGGCCTAATGATGAAGTGCTGTTTCCTGGACATTTGGGATGATCTTCATGTGAATGAGCAGAGGAAAAGTTTGTTGAACAATGAAGAATCACGAGATGATTCGCCAGACTAGAGTTGGATCACATTACTTCAACATAGAAGAAACTTCAATAACGACACATCTGAAACAAAAATACAAAAATTTTTAATAGTTTTATACAAAATATTTGAAAATTATTCATATAATGAATAACAATTGCGAATATGCTCGTTCCAAATGTCCACTTGTTATATTTTTGAAAAAAATTCTAAAAGCGTTTAAGAGAGAAAAAACATTGACCCATTATAAATGGCTGCAGTAATTAGCATCAAAAGATTGAAGTACGTGATGAATGTTTAATGGTTAATTTCAGCGCGTCATCCATGGAACATAGTTTTCTTCTTCTATATATCGCGCCGGGAAAGCGATATATATGCACGCGTGTGTTGTGTATGCACATTTGTGTACAAACATGAATCGGAGCTGTATGCATAGATTGATTATGTATACAAACATGGTCGATAAACAAGGAATATAATGATTACAACATGAAAACAATCGCACAGAATGTAATATGGACGAACCAAGTTATGTGTACGAGTATTTGATAGAGCAATGTACATTCAAACACATTCAATGTTATGCATGCATCTGATGAATGTTCTCCTCTCCCCCTAAAGTGTGTGTTTGTGTGTGTGTGTTTGCGTTTGTTTGTGTGTGTGTGTATATATACTCATGTACTGTATACCTTTTATATTGTTTTGGCTCGACATTATTTCATTTTGAAGAACATCGTTAATGTGGTCGAGATCAAATTGATTTCGTGTTTTTACCTATTTCACTGAAATATTTAGAATCTCGTGAAAAAAACATTTTTGTCTAGAAATTTAGCAACATTTTTGTCTAGAAATTTAGCCTTATCGCGGCTTTCTGTTGTATATTGAAATATAATTCGTAGAACCATTATTTGTGAATTTTTTGCTCAACAAAAATATTGTGTGAGAAATATTGGTAAAGTAGTAGACACGGTTCCCTCCAGTTTTTTAAGCATCTAGATGTTATGTAGGATCATACATTATTGAGAGCAAGCATGTATTTATGGGGAGGCACATGTGGCAACAAAACATGAATGCCAGGGCTTATTTGAACATTTGTGTAGTCGTTTGCGTGTTTGGCCCATGATGTATGTCAGATCGCGGAGAGCCTGTGATAAGCAAGATAAACCTCATCACATGCTCAACTACACATGTTTCTCTCTGTTCACGTGCACGGCTATCTACACACACTGATTTCACATGTGCGTGCACATTCACACGTGCGTACTGATTGTGTAACGTGTGTGTGTGTGTGTGTGTGTGTACATGCATGCAAGTTTGTATATATAACATTTTTTTGCTTGTTTATAATTAAATTTATAAAATTGAATTCATTAATGAATACATTAATGAATTAATTCATTAATGTTTTAATGAAATAATGAATGTATCAATGAATTCATTAAGAAATTAATGAATGTACCAATAAATTAATGAATGAATGAGTATATTGGTTTGACGACTCGGCGATGTAGTTGTCTGAATGTTCACGTTTATGTAGGCTTGCAACTTGAATAAAAATTTCACGAATACCTTTAGGATTATGTTCATGAATAATGAACTCATAATTGATTAGAGTGTGCGTGGCTCTGTGATATTTTTCAGTTATCAACGGTGCCAGCATTCATCTCAAAACTTTTTTCTCATCCTGCATGTTCGTCTGAGTGCACTTCGTTCGTTGCAAATCGTTGCAAATCACTCCTACAGTACATCTGAATGTACTCATTCATAAAAATATGTTGATTAACAGTTACAAAAATACAACATGAGAAATAGAAAAATTAAATAGAAACTTGTCACCGCTGAAAATGCAGTAATAGTTTTTAATAAATGTCTTTTGGTAGTCTCAAACCACAACTTAAACAGAGATTATTTTTTTGATAAGTTACAGAACGAAATATCAAAAGGTGGACACTTGACAAATGAAAAAAAAATAATAACTTAAATAAAATAAAGTTTAATGAAAACCAAGTGTGTGTAACCAAAAATCTCAAAAAATATCATATAAATAATTTAAAAACCTACAACAAAACAGTTATCATTAATTATAATTGGTATGAGCGTCTAAACGAAACCGCTTAATAAAACCATTCGCTTAATCAGTCCTTTTAACTGGCTACTTATTTACCATTTATTATTTTACTTTAAATAAATAAATTCATGATTGTTGTTTCGTTAACACAGAATCGGCTTCAATGAATTTGTAGCAGGAGAAACGTACAATAGAAAGAGTTAACAAAGTTTTAATTACGTTATCGGTAGGCGTAAACAAACAGTGATTGTGCTCCATACACAGAGAGTCCGTCCATACAAATTGTACGTGCGTGTGCAGCAATTTCAATCCAGATGCATTATGTCACTTACTTTAATTGACAACTCAGTTTCTTTCAATTCGTTATCGATCGTTGTATTTCACGTGCCTGTCTGTTTAATTGGATGTAGTTCTGGTGTTGTCGTTGATGTTGTCGTTGTTAGTGTGCTCGTTGTACGTCTTTGCTGTTGCACGCTGACTACTGTTTGGATCAATTACTATGATATAATCAGTGGTATGGCTAGTTTTTGCATATTCCACATTTTTTCAATAATTTTTCTATACTTAAACAAATATTTGTCATCCAAAACCCAAATTGGTTCTTCGTCGGATAAGGCTCGGATAATATTTTCATTCATATTTCCCTGAATAATTATGTGATCTTTCTCGCTTTTTTTCATTTTTTGGTTTTTGGTTACACTCACTTTGTTTTCATTAAACATAATTTTATTTAACTTATTTTTTTTCATTTTTAAAATATACTGATTGACAACACGGAAATGGTGTTCAACAAAGTTGCTACAGATTGTTTAACTAAAATTACCAAAATCACACCAAGTCTTTGTAATTCAAGTTCTTAAAATCATTTATACCCTCCAAACAAAAATTTATCTTAATTTCTTCACCTTGTTTCATACGTCACGTCAGGGTTTGTACATTCAAAATCAAAATGAATTTTAAAGTATGGAAGAATTCCTTATTACCCGGCAGTGTGATGAAATATTTTTCAGATAGGCATGACAGATTCCGCCATACTTCAAAAAAAGAGTTTGAGTTTTTGGCATTAAGTTAAATGTAAAAGAAATTTTGGCTGTCTGTTATATCATATCTAAAATAATGAAGACTTGTCAGCAAATATGATTTTTTTAAATTTAAATTTTGTAATTGTTGAAATAGAGCTCCCAAGTTATTACTATTTATTAACTGATTAATCAATCTACCATTGAATCAGCCATTTTATTAGTCAGTTAGTTAAAATGAATATACAATGATCTCAATGATCAAACTTCGTAACATGTTAGAACGAGACTTATTATTTTCAATCAAATTATCTCGTTAATGTTTCCACCTAGTGAACATAGTACTTTTGTGTGCCCAGTTGTATGTTTTGAAAACCTGTGGGGCTGTTAGAAAAACTAAATCATGAAAGTTTTAATATAATATTTGAAGATGGTGTGATGCATTATAAAAAATCCATTGTTGCAATTTAATTAATAATCATCAGTTATTCAGTAAATGCAAATATTTGTGTTCAAAAGTAAGAGTAGAATAAACATACATAAACATAAACAGAGAATAGAGAGGCGCGAACTGACGTTCCTATGCCTCCAGCAAATGAAAAGATTCCATTGTATTTTAAAAATAATAAAATAAATAAATGAAGTAAAATAAAATACAGTTGGATGAAAATATAAATTGTTAATGATAAATGTCTATGTATACATATATATATGTACATACATACACATATATACACACACTCACACACACACACATTATCCACAAAGATGTCAAAGATAATATAAATATATAAACTATGACATTGTGCCAAGCGAGGATCTCCAGTTGAACATCATGTCCGTAGAATTCATATGTCGATCCAACTTCATTTTAAATGTTTCAACATCTTTAGCCATCACAATGTCCGCATCCAAGCCGTTCCATAACTCAACCACCCTATTGGAAAAACAAAATTTCCCATGATTCGTGTTAAAACTATGAGTAGACAACTTGATAAGATCACCTCTGATTCGTCTATACCTCAGTGTGGGAAGATCGAGGAGTCTTAATCTCTGCTCATAATTGAGTCCAATACAATCTTTCACCATTCTTGTGGTCCTGAATACTTGAAAAAAAAACAGATCTACAAACACAAACGCATGTATAATACTTAACGATAATTAAAAATTGTGTAACGAAAGACATCAAGAAATATAAATGGAAGCGCAATGCGAAACAACGATTCCCTAACCGAACAAACCGAAAGATAAAAAGATATATGTACGTATATATTAAGATATATACGTATATATAAAGATATATGTACGTTCAGACACAATAAGCGTTACATTATATGACTGCTTGTGTTAAGTTCCACTTTGCATGAGACGAACAAACACCTCAGAAACTGTTGCAACATGTGAAAACTTAACACAAAAAATATGTGCTAAATTTTTTTCAAAATAATTTTCATGGAGTGCTGAAACGCAATTAAGTTTAAAATAGAGGAAAAAGGGTAAAATTAAATAGAGTTGAATGTATTTTTATTGAAACATGTTGGATTGTATTTTTGTTAAATTTAACTCGGCCGCGATAACAAAAACTCGATAAGATGCGACGAACAAGGTCTGCAAATAATTGGCTACTGTTTCATAAAGTTTTCTGCCTGATTGTGCCATAGGATGGATTCAGTGTTTCATTTGCATTTATATTGAAGAAATTTGAGACCAACTTCCGAAAATTAAATTGAGTAAAATTTCTATGCAAGGCTGCTGGTTGCACAAATACTGATTCGCCAACTTGCTTGCACCAGACTATATTTCAATTTGTGCAAATTTAGTTTTCGTCTAACTATCTAACATTGATCAAAACGTCTCAAAAACTAACG